ACGCCGACGTCTCCTCTGATGATGAGCGCTAGTGTCGTGGTAGCAACATGCTATGTGTTTACATCCATCGCTGCCATGTTTGTAATGACTTATCATGAGAACAAACGTATTCACGTGACTTTAATAACATTTCTTACTTAATGGAAGCACAAACTGTTTTTTCAACATTAACAGAATATCGACAAATTTTTGCGCACATTTGTAATGGAAACGCAGCTAGAGGCGCAGCTTTCACTTTAAACCCACTACTACTAGCCAATCAGAAATCAGGTGTGGGTGGGACTTGGATATCGGCAATGCTTTGACATGATTAACAGTTATTACATCCACATGGACACAGTTAAATAAAGGACGCACAAAGTTGTGCCAAAAACACATCTAACAGGAACAGATTCAGCCTTACTGGAGGATATAATAAATAGTGAAACACACAGAGCTTTTATTTATAAACAGATAGAATTATCTGGTGACGAGTGGCTCATCAGTCGTTTTGAGGAAAAATCATTTTTAGTTTGGCACTGCTGCGCTCAGGGAGCGCGATGCAGCGAGTAGCCACGTGCACCACGCGTGCACGTGCAGCAGCAGCAGTGATTGAACTGGGGTTCCACAGGAGCTTTCCAGAGGGAGCTGGCAGACCCATCAGGACTCAGTCCAGTCCACCCAAAGCAGAGTCATGACCAACGGAATCGTCTCATCCATCTGATTCTAAAGGCTGAGTTATGGTCGCGCTCTGGAGCGCGCACCCTCACCTGCAGTGGAGGTGTTTCATACTTGGTGTTTACGTTGTTGTAGATTTCTTCAAAATGACACGTGGAAGTACACTTTACAACTTGTGAAAATGCTGTAAGTAGGAGAGCAAAAGCTGGACAGACAAACAGACTGCACACAAAGGCTGCGGTGCTGCAGTGTTTGTGGAGACTCTCCAACATCACGTCACGTCATGTGAACTCCACTGAGACGCAGAGACTCGTTTCTTCATATCAGCTATGAAATAAACTAACATCTATGTTCTACCAAACATTTAAGTTCCTTTGTGTTTACAGTAATTATGGTAATAAACTCGTGCACAAAGTTAATATTTTCAGACTCAGAATGGATGGATAAGCTGGTTGCGCACCACAGCAGCGTGCGCGTACACACATGCCGACACACAATCACTCGTTCTTTGCGTGATATATTTTATTCCTATTCTTACTTAGAATTTTTTTCACACTCACATTATATTAAATTCATTATTTTTATGACTTTAGAAATCATTTCTGATCACAGGGATCAAACGTGTCCTTCACACATGCAGGAAGTAATTTGCATCTGTTTAACATATGTTAATGAAGGTGTGTCAGGGGAGGAGTCTTACCTGCGCTCAGTTCCACGTTAATTGTGATGTACAAAAGAAATGTGCGTGGATTCAGGCATACACAGTTTGATACATCAGGATTTTTTTGTGCGTACGCTGTTTTCTGGATTTGACCGTACGTCAGGTTTCAGTAAGAAATCCACACAAGTCTTTGTACATGAGGCCCCAGCTCTGCTCTGCTGGGATAACACAGTCTGGGGTTCGTTTGATTTACAGAAAGCAGATAAAGCGCCTGACACCCCTCCTCAAATGACTGGTCTCACCAGTGAGTCCAGAAACATTTTTTAGTTGCACTATGAAGAAATCAGGTCAAATTTGCTACCAAATTGGTTGCATTCTAGAGCCCTGAAATATTAAAACATTGTTTGTTTCTTTTACAAATAGTTGATTGAATTTTAACTTTTTTATTGTGTTTATTGATCAGTGGTGTTCAAAAGCTTTTAAGAATGTGAACGTGGTTCCTCCCGAAGTCGGAGCTGTGCACCAGGTGAACTTGGAGTATCTATCCAGAGTGGTGCAGGTCAGCGATGGTTTCATCTACCCTGACAGCGTAGTGGGAACTGACTCCCACACCACAATGATCAACGGCCTGGGCATCCTTGGCTGGGGTAAGACTTTTTCAGATGTTGTTTTCTTTAGAATGTGTTGTTTTTGTCACAGACTTTGTCAGTAATTCATTTTTTTTGATGGACAGTTTAAATTTTTTGCGGTGTGACTTAGAGCAGAGGTTCTTAACCTTTTTGACCTCGGGGCCCAATTTATTGAACATAAAGTGACACGAGGCCCAGTCAGACATTACCAATGTATGGATCAAAATGATAATTATTCTAAATCTTGGTTTAAATTTATTGTATTTACATCATAACTAAACTATCATAACTAACATAACTAAATTAAAAACACTTACAGTTTAACCCCTATCTCTCCTGCCTTCGAGCAGGGTAAAAAAAGGCGAGCTTGCACAGCTGGATATGTTTAGACACATTACTCATCAGCTTTGAAACAACCATGATAAGAGTGAGTTCATTTTAAAACTTAAAACTCTAAAAAGACGTAGTTTGACTTGTTTGATCTGTTCGACATAATAAGAAGTAAAGTCATTCTGTGACTCCTGCTGCTGCTGAGTGATGTCAGAGCTGAGGTTTTTAAACGTTTATCTCTGGCTTTATGTATAAATGCTCACAAACAGCTTTTTTTCCATTAAACATTAATAACTCAACACGCCACATGTCCCCCCAGCAGTAATGTTTACCTTGGTATTTAAAGAACATACCGCGGTATGAAACCACCCAATCCTAATCTGCAACTTGTCATAAAGAACAGAGCGCAGAAATGTTAAGATTGGTGAAAAACGAAACAAATATGCACCTAGGGCTGCAGCTAACGATTATTTTAGTAATCAATTAATCTACCGGTTATTCTGACAATTAATCGAGTAATCGGATATAAAAAAATAGTCATGTTCTGCAGTAATTAATTGAGCTTATTTTATGAGAAATACAATTATTTAATATTGTGAAGGGGTAATGTACACTTGCAGATGAACCTGCTGTAATCAACGTAAAATGACACCAGTTGTATTAATTAATGCTTTTTAAACTCCATTTGTTTGTATTTATGTGTGTGTGGTTTGAGGAGGCATTAATTAAAAACACTCTGTCACTGAATCATTTTTAACATCACAGAAAAATCTAAATATTAAATTTATTGTTATGAACTGGAAAACTGAACCTTTATTTGTTAGAAATTTAATAAGTAAAATGTGTAGTATAAACATTTGGGTGTTGCAGTTGAGTTTTGTAGATTTCACTTGTTAATTACAACAAAAATATTTTAAGACTGTTGTTAGGTTGGTGCAGGGCTCCTATTTAGGCAATAAAAGATTTAGTCTTGACTGCTGAGCTATAAACAGATATAACCGTAGTAATGAAGGCTAAAATCATGAAAAGCAGCAGCAAATAATTAAAGAAATCCAACTATCTTCTATAAATACTTTTAAACTTGAAACATTTACCTACCCCAAGTAAAAAATCATATCAACAAATGCTGTTGTGTTTTTATTTTTATCTGACAAACTTACAGTAAGTCTTGTTTTTAACCACACAACTCACAGTGTTTAATAAAACCCTGCCAGGTCACCATGATTAGTCAGCACAAATAACGTTAGTTTTAATACACCTCCTCCTTGTACATCTGGAACCTGACAGAACGTATACAAATACCCCCTGTTAACCCCGGACGTGTTGGGTACATGCAGCAGTGTTTTTGTTGCGGTGCAGAAACATGGCAGATGTGAAGCGTACTGCACGTTGTCGTCTTTTCTGTTTAGTTTTAAATGTTCCCATGTTTTTTATAATTTGTCGTTTTCTGAGCGCTTCGATTCAGCACTCTTCGTCTTCTTCTGAAGTTAAATATAGCGCTCAGCAAGCATACAGTGGTTTGCAAAAGTATTCATAGCCCTTGAACTTTTCCATATTTTGTCACATTACAACCACAAACATAAATATATTTCACTGGAATTTAA